GCGGAGAATCAGCCCCGCTGTGGCGAGGCCTCTGTTGGAGCTCATCTCCTCCTTAGCCCCCCAGTAGCCTTACACTCGGGGTGGGTTTCAGGTGGATTGAGGCTGCTATTGGGATCTGAAAATGGGGACAAGTCGCTGCATCCTTCCCTCCCTCCAGGGAAGCAAACCCGTATCTAATCATCTCTGGGGCTTGTTCAAAGTGCAGACTGGTCCCACTCTAAATCAGCTTTAAGTCCAAGGGTTCAGAATCTGTCCGCAGGAGCTAGTTACGGATTAGTCATTTGTGTGCTTTTTTTTCCTGATGAAGTTCAGTTCTCTCTGCGATCCTTTGGTTGTTGTTTTTTTTTGGTTAATTAGGCAGGGGAAAGTAAAAAAAAGAAGTCTTGAAGATCTTAGAGTGCCATAGGTTCATGAGTGCCAGAGCTTCGGAGAGCTGCCACTCGACAATAGCGGATGTGCTAACAGCAGTCCACAAAGAGCAGATTTCTCAGAGCCAGCAGGGATTCTAGCAGGGAAAAATACAAAACCAACCCAGTCACCAGATCCCGTGACTAAACTCTCGTCTTAAAGCAGGAGAAAGGGCAAGGCTATGGTCTTGCCAAGATGAGCCAAGACCATGGTGCTGTCCTCCACGACACATCACTGAGAAGAATCTGTTGCAGAATTAGGGAGGAAGGCTAGGGGAAATTAGTGTAACAGAACTGAAAGGCAGCCTCTGTGAGAAGGGGAGGTGATAGTTGTTTTATGTACTCCCCAGGATGATTTTTACCTACTTGCAGTCCCTCTGTTGTGGATTTCTTCAGTCACAGTCTGATACCTGAGTAGAGACAAGCCCCAGGACATGATTGTCCCAAGTCATCTGGGCAGGACAACTTGTGCACAACCCAGAGGACAAAAAGTGCTGGCTCTTCTGTGCTCCCTGGAGCAGTTTAGTTCTTTATTGACAACAGCAGATGAGATATAGAGCAGATCTTTTATGTCTCTTAGGAGTCAGCAGCAGTTACAGGGTGGTTCTTCCCTGCGGCCTTGCTGCCATCTTCTGTTGCCAGAGTGGGAGACTTTCACTGAGGAGTGAGTTAGGTGGGCCGTAGCCTTACCAGAGCAGAGCCTTTCTAGAGTGGGTAGAAACAGCATGTATCTCAGCTAGATCAGCAGTGTCCTTAGTGATGGATGCAGGCCTTTTTTTTGTTTCTGCTGTTTTTTTCTGATGCTTATGCAAAGGTGTTTTCATTCCTGTGAATTTTAGCATTAACAAATCTCAAAGTAGGCTGACATTTTCTACTTGGCAAGTACCTCAAGCTGTTGTGCAGGATGGGCAGTGGCAAAGAGAGCTGCTTCAAACGGAGCCTGTTTTTGTGGCTGATGATGAAAGTGGTGCCTGGCCTATTTTGCAGGGCACCTTGACAGGTAGCCTGTAAGTAGCAGGCCTAACCTTTCTACCCTCTTGACTTTTCTCTTCATGCTGTTTCTGGATATAGTATGAATGGTGAAGAAAATTTGTAATTTTATATGCAGGTCTAGTCTTTCAGGCTTGTAATTTGAACACTGAAGTGCTTGAGCTGCTGGAATGTGAGCCTTTAATCCAATCACAGTGGGAAAGCTTTAGGATGTATTAACAAAGATGTCTTTGCCTGCTTGCTTAACATTTTTGACAGTTGGGTCATTAGAAGCAGGAAATATGTTAAAGTGTAAAATAAGATGAGCTGAATTCTTGCAGCATCCGCAAGGACTAATCCCCCATTAGGAGAAGTCTGAATTGACTTGCCCCAGGTCTTTTTTATGTCTATCCCGTACGTTCTGTGTACTGGAATAAAAGTGATGCTGAAGGGATTGGGGCAGCTCCTCAAATAAGTGTATGCTTAGACAGGAATGTATATGGTGTGCTGTATGTAAGTCTGTGCTTGTGTTGTGGTTTAACCCGAGCCAGGCACTAAGCCCCACACAGCCACTTGCTCACTCCCCTGCCCCAGGTGGGGTTGGGGAGAGAACTGGAAGGGTAAAAGTGAGAAAACTGGTCGATTGAGATAAAGACAGATTGATAGGTAAAGGAAAACCCACGCACGCAGGCAAAGCAAAACAAGGAATTAATGCAATGCTTCCCATCGTCAGGCAGCTGTTCAGCCACCTCCAGGACAGCAGGAGATGTGTAACTCCAAACGTGCCCCCCTTCCTTCCTATTCCCCCAGCTTTTATTGCTGAGCATGACGTGACATGGTATGGAGTGTCCCTTTTGTCAGTTGGGGTCAGCTGACTGTGTCCCCTCCCAACTTCTTGTGCACCCCCAGCCCACTTGCTGGTGGGGCGGGGTGAACAGAAAGCAGAAAAGGCCTTGGCTCTGTGTAAGCCCTGCTCAGCAATAGCTAAAATATCCCTGTGTTATCAACACCGTTTTCATCACAAATCCAAAACACAGCCCCGTACCAGCTACTGTGAAGAAAGTTAACTCTATCCCAGCCAAACCCAGGACAGCTTGAGAAGTTTACAGTCTTAGAGGCAATGATGGGTGCAGTATAGGAATGCTGAATGGAGAGTGATTAGTAGAAATAAACCCAAATGCTGTTAAAAATATCTGAGTAGGCTCCCAAGGGAAGCACCTCAGCTTGTGAGATGGCAGGCTTTGTGGTTGTGTGGCCATCCTGTGTGGGGGAAAAAGCCCACAAGTGACTAGAGATTACACGCCTGTCTGCTGTAGGCACCCACATGAATAAGTCAAATGTTGTGAAATAGACATTGGATTTTTCATTTTGCTGCCTGAGTTACTTAGGAGGACAGTCATGGAGACAGCCACGAACCAGGGTGCTGTAGCTGCTGCAGCTTAATTCCACAGTTGAGTAAACTGCATGTCTGCCTAATGATCTCTTCACTCTCCAGCAGCTAGCCTGGGGATGTAGCACCTCAGCCAGTGTTACCTATTTCGTTAAGAAACTATGGCAGTCTGGTTCTGTTTTGCATTTTAGCTTTATCAAATGCCTATGTTCTTCCTTTTTGTAAGGCTTGCGTGCAAGTCTGTGGTCCAAATTCTTTGTTGGCTTAACTCCAGTGACTTGGTGGATTTGCTCTGCCGGGCTGTTTGGCCTGCAAGTTACTTAAGGTGTTGATTTCACTTGTAAAAAACACAGGGTTTTATTTTACCTGCTTCACATGAGGTGTGTCTGCAGCAGAGGGAGTAGCCAAAAGTTGAGTTGTAATGGATTAAGAATGGGTCTCTTGTTATGCGATGGATAATCTTCTATTACACTTCATAATTTTTTGCGTCTTTATTCCCACTGCTAACTGAGTCTTCAGTAACTGCAACTGAACAAAAAGGTTTGTGTGTCTGCTCATGTTGTCCTTCCAGCTTTTCTTTTTTTTTTAAAAAAAAAAAAAGCATTGATGAAAATATCAGAACACCATCAATTTGAAAATCTGTTGGCATAGTTTGGAAAACAAGTGTGTAAAATGAGCGGGTTTGTATTTGTTTGTTTTGCAGGCCTGGCAGGATGCTGGACTTGTCCTGTCCACGACTAGCAATGAAGCCTGTAAGCTATTTGATGCTGCACTGACACAGGTATGACAAAAAAGTGTAAGAAAACGTGATTTGAAGGGACTTGTGCATGAAACAGTCTTTGCTGTAGTTGATGTTTAAATTTCTTATCAGCTGTGAGAGCCTCAAAATTGGGCTGCCACAGGAGTTCAGCCATTAGCAGGGAGCAGAAAACCCCCGTAGCAGAGGGCTATGCTAGATGTGTTGCAGCTGTGGGGAAAACCTCAGCCAGCGTGCTCATCCTACTTGACACTGAAGAATCAACCAATTAACATAAACCACATAGAAATCCAGGGTTATTGGTTCTCCTGGTGGCCCAACTATCTTAAAGAAAACAGTTTTCCTATTTCCCTACTACGCTAACACTATCTGAATGCTGTGTTTGTCTTTTAGTCATTTGCCTTGCTTACTTTTGAGTTTTAAATGCCTGGCAGAACAAGAAGCAGCCCAATATCATAGGGGATTCCTCGACACTCTGTCTCTCTTACAGTATGCAACCTGGGCCAATGATGAGAGCCTTGGAGGTATTGAGGGATGTCTCTCCAAGTTAAAAGCAGCAGATCCAAATTTTAGTGAGTATAGCCTTTAATTCTTAGCATGGACAGTGCTGGATAATACCTGGTGTCTTGGTGTTTAACTTTTTTTACGCAAGGGGAAGGTGGTGGCTTATAGCATTCTGTAAAACTTCTTCAGACTCTAGAGCAGGCTGGGATGGTTTTGGGTGTTTTTTTTCTTTTCATTTCAAGTCTGTTTAAATGGCTATCACGAAAAGCCTCTAAGATCTTTAGTCTGTACCCCTGTGGCTACAAGTCAGTCTTGTTGAAAGTAAACAACTCCCTGTCACGTTTATGTAGAGGTGAATGTAGAGCTGCTGTACAGCTCAAGCTGCCATGTGCTGTTTTCTGTAGCAATGGGACACGTCATTGCCAATGGTTTGGAGCTGATCGGTGCTGGAAGCTCAGTGCGGCTCAACAAAGAGCTGGACAGTGCGATGAGAACTATGATGATGCTTTCAAAATCACAGCCACTGACTGAGCGGGAGAAGCTTCATGTGTCAGCGTTGGACATGTTTGCCAGTGGGTAAGTCCACTGTCATCCCACTTAAAGGGCTGTGAAGATTTTAGCTACCACAGGTAGAAGCGATAGTTGGTAGTAGTGTTGCCTGACGTTAGCTGACACCTAGCAGAGGATCAGGGTGGGATGTCAGTGGTGGTTCTTGAATTTATCTCTCCAAACTGTAAGCGCCATTACTAGTTAGTGAACAGCACCGTAGGAGGGCAAGTGCTCTATTGCCACTGCTTCATATCATTAAGCACTCCATGTTTTAAATCTGTCATAGAGCCATCAGTGGAGTATATGGTCTAGAACTAGGTAACTCCAGTAAGGTCCAGTATGATATAACACAGACTTGGACCCACAGAAGCAAAGCTACAAACAGACTTCTTTTCTTTCCGTTCTCTCCCTGTGTCAAAAACTATTTCCTCTGTAAACCAGGGAGATAGCAGAGTGTCAGAAGTGCTGTAGAGGCTCACCGTTCCATTCAATAGGATGAATTTATGTGCCCTGCGGAAAGCATGGGCTAATGATTCACTTTCATTGTTTGTCAAATAAACAGGTGAGCATGGATTTACCTCACATACTTCTTAGCAAAGGTAAAGAGGAAGTTACTGAAGTCTTGCTGCTAGGAGTTTGATTCCCACTAGAGGAGAGGGAATGTGTCTTTGTGCATGTGAAGTTAGATGAGTTATGGTAGGTCTCTGTAAAAACTGTTCAACCCTGTAGGAAAATCGTTAGATGTGTGGTTTAAGCTTGTTTCATTTTCCTTGTGTGTTACAGTGACTTCTTGTAACTCAAGGACATTTCTTTCAAAAGATCTCCCAAAAGGTGCTCAGTGAAGATAATGCCATTATTACTTTAAAAAAAGACTAAGAATTTCCTTCAAGGAAAAAAAAAAAAAGTCATTTGATGTTGAATTTTCTGTTTTTCAAAATGGCATGAGTTTAGAACTAACAATAGACGCAGGTACGTGTGCCTTCTCTCAGCAATCAAAATATTTTTTAATTTCTAGCCAGCTTCCAAAAGCTTGTGATCTATGGGAACAGATTCTGCAGAGCCACCCAACTGACCTGCTAGCTCTCAGATTTTCCCAGGACACTTATTTCTACCTGGGATATCATATACAGATGCGAGATTCTGTTGCCCGGGTTTATCCTTTCTGGACACCTGATATACCACTAAGCAGGTGGGTCATGCTTCGTTTTGGAAATTGCTCTTTATCTGGTGTGCACGTACTTTGTGGTTTTTAAGTTCAGACACATCTAAATAACAGGATCTGTTGGAAACAAGACAGGTAGACAAATCAAGGGCTTAGAAGTGAATCAAACCTGACCACAGCTAGATCATCTCTCCTGTACCCCTGTTGACACTGTTGTTGAGGGTTTTTTCCTTAAGTGGGCTGTGGCTCAATTAGTAAATTTTGCTGCATGTAACACACAGGATAAAATCGTGTCCTCACTGAGGCCAGGGGCAAAACTCCTTCGGGGCTTTATGGGTCAAGTTTTTTACTCGGGGCTCACATTGTAGGTGATAGAGCACGTCAGTGGAAGGGAGAAAGGAGTTGTAACCTGGAATACCAAAGTGTCGTTCTGAAATAAAACTTTGGGATGTATCATAACAGCTGGTGCAGCAAAGACTGACAGGAGGGTAGAATTTTTAAAAAGTCCTTTAGTTCAGTCCTGAAAGTTTCAGTTTCCCAAAGTTAATTCAGGTTAAGCGGAATCTGTTGACAAGTCAATTGTTAGTAAAAACTAACTTGGTATAATTTTTTAAATTATTTTTAAGGCCCATTAAATTGTTTGAAAGCTTTTAACTTTATGTAAAAATTAACATTACAAGTCGAGTTGTGCATTTAACATTTAGAGGCAGATGAAGAGATGATCCACAGGCAACTGTAACTTTCTGACTATTTTATGAATGTTGCTGTACACCAATGCACTGTACCTCCATAGCCAGCACAATCTTGTCTCCTTTTTTTCTTCCACAAACTGTGCAGAGAATACAGACTGAATGCTAACATAACAGTGAAGCTAACTGAGGTATCCCACAATCTCATGGCACAGAGGGTAGTGTCAGGAGTCTCATTTTTCCAGCTGTGTTACCTCAACTCTGAAAAATCTAAAACTCTTTGTTCTTTTTAACCACGACTTAGGAAGACAACTTAGCAGTTTTGACTGCATTTTTATAAACTTTTCTAGACACAGTGCTACAAAAGTGCAAGTTGTTGTCCACTTGATTGCAAAGCAACAGGAAACACACATATGCCAAGCATTTCTTGAAGTGTAAAAACCTGGCAAGTTCCTCTTGTCCTCAAACTTCCAGGCATGTAGAGTTACATGGGAATTGATACATTGGCGAAAAAAAAAAAAGGGAACTTCTCTTAATCTCGGTCCATGAAATAAATAAGTTGCAACATGCCCCACATGTTTTAGTAGTTCCTTTGCCTTAGGAGTTTAAAACCAAAACCCCAACAGATCTTTTGAGAAGCAGAAACATATCCTGTGGTATTTTGCAATCTACAAATCTGCAAATGCAATAGCAGTTAAATATTTCTTAAAATGACTGCATCAGGTATGTGCGTAAGAGCACATAACGTCCCTAATTTTCCTTTACATTGGGCCTTTATGGCTTAATGGGGATGCTTTACAACCAGTTTTAAAGGGCCACTTCGCATGAAAGTTCTCTCTTATAGTTTTGTGGGCACTGGGAGAAAGTGCAGAAGGCTGCACTCATGTGTTGCCTTTGGGGCGCTCGGGTAACTTCGGTGACAGCACTGTGTTGCTTCCATCCTTCTAATTCTGCATCTTGCAGTTGTTACGGGGACCAGCAGCTTGTTGTGTGCAACTCTTAATTCCAGCTTATCCAAAGATGGAAATGTCAGTTCTCAAAACACTGGTGGTGTGCGTCTTGTTATGGTTTCCCATGCTGGTGTCTCCAGGCCTCTTATTTCCTCTGAGAACTAGCTAGTTGTTCTGTATTCTGCAGGCTTGAACCCTTATTGTAACTTGTGTTGTGAGGACTGTTCTGAGTTAAATGCTATTTCTAATATGTTTTTCAGTCCTAGATTAGATCTAGTTCTAAATGGATGACATGCTGGTTTTTCCCTTTTGCTTAGCTATGTGAAGGGCTACTACTCCTTTGGACTCATGGAAACAAACTTGTTCGATCGTGCTGAGGAGCTTGCCTATGAGGTAAACTGCCTGCTACTGGTGCTGAAAAGTTTTAGGATTCTTAAACGTGGTCCCTATCTCTGGGTGGTGGTTTGTGTGAATGCCACAAACTGACTCTCTTCGTCGTCCTGGTTGTTAGTAGAAGTAGCAAAGAGGTAAAGCTCAACATGGAAATGCTCACAGAGTTTCATAAGAGACTATTGGTAACTATTCCTTAGAAAGATTCCCACATCTATGCCATACCAGGGCCATTTCATCTTGACTGTATTTCCTTCACTTGCTTATGAGCGCGCCTTGTCAGTTGGTGCCAGAACACACCTATAAAATCCATATATTATCCTGTCGGCTGTTTCCCCCGTGTATAATTGGCTGTTTACTCCTGTTAAAGAATGTTGGATTGTTTTGATATAATCTGTTTTTGACAATCCGTCCTGTTTGGGTTCCCCCTCCTTTTTTTCCCAGATGCTTGTTCCTGGATTATTGAGCAATTAACTGTACAATGTTCCTGGGGATCAATATTAGCTGGCCTGTTTCCTTTTTATGAAGACAGTAATTATACTTGACTTTCTCCAGTCCTCAGGATTATCCCTGTCCTCCAGGAGTCTCAGACACAATTAATCTCTAATGGGTGTTTTTGCCAAACTTCTGTTACATCAAATTGCTGGAAGTGACAACAAAGACTAAACGTTAACATTTAATATTCACTAGGTTAGTGACTGACCTTGCAAAATGCCTGAAACCTAGTGGGACTTGTTGGAGTGAGAAAGAGGAATTTGCTGAATACTCAGAGCTGGCCATGTTCTTGAAGAAGAAATGATTACCTGCAAGGCACTATGCCATGGAATATATTCATGCCTGTGCATGCAATTCTTTCATGGCTGATATTGATGCATGTCATTTGATAATCTTCATCAAAGCCTGCATTTTAAAGTGTTTTGCAGGTGTTCATCTCTACTCAGTAGAAGCTGGGAAGTGAAGTCAGACAGTCAACATTTTCTTCCTTTTCTTTCCAAATCGAACTTCCTGGCTGTGGTTTGTTGGAGTGGTACAGGGATGTACTTAACATACAGCAAGTAAAAAGTAGTCTCTTGTTTCTATGTCAGCAGTGGTAAATATTGTTATCTGCAAGTTTGTAAACTTCATCACGTTTTCCGTTTTTTCACTCGTAGGCTTTGGCTGTAAATCAGACAGATGCATGGTCTGTTCATACTATAGCTCACGTACATGAGATGAAAGCAGAGGTGAAGAAAGGGTTAGAATTCATGAAGAAAACGGAAGCCAACTGGAAGGTAAACATTCTTGTAGCATCTCTGAAAAAGCTCCTTCTGGGTATTCTCTGTCTCCTCCTCTGTGTGCAATTGCTTCGTATCTGCAGGCATGTTACAAGCAGTGCAAAGTTTACATGCTAGAAGAAGGCATCACTTGAGCTTCTGTTACTGTCCATGCTACTTTTGAAACAAGAGGCAGGAAAAAATGGAATTTTATGAGGGGCACATACTGTGGACCACTTCCAGTCGTCATTACTACAACTGCTGAGATTACAAAAGTGACAAACATGTCAGTAGGCCAGGATTCACATGAACTCTGTCCTCACACTGCCTTACTTTAGGTAGGAATGTTGTAATAAATCCTGCTTCTCAACAAGTCTGTGGTTTGTATGTGCACATGTAGTTTCTTTTTCCTGGTGAAGCTGGTTAGGTATTTTACGTCTCATAAAGATGGCCACCGCGGCCAAGTGGAACATCCTATGTTAAAATTGTTATTTATTTATATGTGGTTTATATAGATGTGATTTATTGTGTGGTTATACAAGTAAAGTGACTGCTGATATTTTCACGAGCTTTTTGCTTAGACTGAGATGAGCACTGAGGGTCATTTGAGGAACCTGGCCAAATCTCTTCATGGGAACCTAAGATGAAGTGTGAAATGACACAGTCAAATCAAATGTTTTAGAAGACTCATGAAGTATTTATTTGCTTCTGGATGGGGAAGGATTTTTAAAGGTCAACTAAAAAGAAAAGACAAATTACACTTTTGTCTCTTTTCTAGTGTACTGAAGTTACTTTATATATCCAACATATTTGAGTATCTCTGAGTGCTGAACAGGTTGGTTAGTCTGTCATACGGTCCTTTGCTGTAAGTGAAGCTTAATTCCTAGTTGTGTTGGACAGCATGTGTTTTCCCAATGATTAAGTATGTTATGTTCAGAGCAGAAGGCTGTGAGGCTTGGATTTGTTAGAACCCGCCAGAGTCTATTTTAGAGTCACCTGAGCTGACCATTCCACCTCACCCAAAGAGCAGGGCTGGATAATGAGTCTAGAAGGGCTGGTTATTTTGCACTTGTTTTTTTTTTTTAAGTTAAGCATTCGGATACCAGCCTTGGAAGTGCAGGCAGAAAACCCTTGCTTGAGGTTCGTATCTGTCATTTCCCAGAAATCATTTTGTCCATTAGTATTTTAGTTTTAATGAAACAGTGATGCAGGGGACTGACAGTTTGTGTGACACCTTAAAAACCCCAACCAGTGTCTTTTGGATCGATTTTTGAACTCTGTTTCTTCAAATAGTTGCGTGCCCCTGTGATTTATACCCTTTATCCAAATAAAATAAAGTGCAAGATCAGTAAGTAGGATTTGTCTAATGTTCCTTCGTGCCTGACCCGGTGTAGCTAAGATTTGTAACAGCCAGTATTGTCCTAGTGGTAATGTGTGTAATTGCTTCTTTTGTGCAATATTTTTCGTTTTAAACGTCATGAACACAGAGTGTTAAACTATAAGCACGTGGAAAAAAAGCAAGTCTCTCTAAGGGCTTTAGTGAAGTTGCTTGTGTTTGGCCTGGTGATTTGAAATTTTTTAAAATTTTATTTCAAGGACCAGGATCATCTAGCTGTGCTGCCGCAGTATTCAGATTCCTGTTGCTTTTAATGCATCTTCCTCCTTCCCAGTAAGAGGGGCAGAGATTTTGTGCAGGTTTTCTTTACAGAGTACTTTGTATTGTTTGGTCCCCCACCCCCAAAAAGAGGTCAGATGCCATTTGGGTTTTACGTATATTTCAGCACAAAATCAAAAGGGGCAAATTTTCTTACCAGATGGGACCTCTCTGCCAGTGCTGATTATTATTGTTAAATGGCAGTGGTTTTTCTCCTGAGCTGTTGTGCTGAGTTCCCCTAGTCTACTTTTATGTATTTATTTTAGTTACCTGCAAGCCCACTTCTCCTTTAGCCATTTAATCTCATTCAGAACTCAAAGTCGGCAGCGGTAAAAAGTTTTTTGTTTTATTTAGTGAGGTGAAATCCGATGTTCTTGTTTGTATGCCATTTGGAATGGTGGTATGATATTAAACTTGATATTACCAGGTTTATGCCGAGGACTTAACTACTTCAGTTGCTCAGGATTGGTTTGTGATTTAATATTAAGCAAGTAAAGGTTACCAGAATGTTTATCTTAGCACCGTGAAGCTCTGACATTCACTGGGAACCTTTCTACTTCCTGAAAGACCCACATGGTTGTCACCATGAAAACGAAGATGCTTTTTCCACTTGTGAGCACATCCAGCACTGGGGGAGCACAGGAGGAGAGGGACGAACCTTTCTGGTATTTTAATTTTCACTAAAGGATTGTGGAATTATATTCCTGTTTGTCTGTTCTCAGTGCAGTCATGAAAACGAACTGCAATGACATTGTCTTGAAGTGCAGGCTAGGGAAGAGTGTTTCAAGTTCTGGTGCCAGCTGAGGAGGACAGTGCAAAGCTGGTACAGTCCAGCAAATATTCTTCTCATCTGATGAACTGCCAGTGTGTTTGGTGTTTAGTGCAGCTTCTCTAGTCTGTAGTAAAACATATGTTTAAGAAGTGATTCTTCTCTGTCTGAGATGGGTGTCTAGATGGGCGGGATGAGTGGCACTCCTAAGGTGGGTGTCTCTCTCCGCTATCTATCCAGCTTACTTTAGACAAAGTGCCTAAATTTTAAATGCCACAAATCTTACTTGTGTTACGGACGTGTGTGCTTTCCTGAGGGGGGGGCGGGGGAAGAGGTGCTGCAGCAGGGTGAATTGTGAGGCATCCAAGTGAAATTCTTCACTGGAAAATGATGTGGGGGAAACTTTGTTCTTGAGGTGTCTCCCTGGATAGCTGCAAGGACAAATGTATCAAATGAGAAGGTGTCCTGGCCAGCTGGTTTAAAGTTCTTGTCTCTTCTGTCACATGAAATACTCAATTTTGCTGAAGAAGGAAACAGAAATCTGACTAGGCACGTTTAAATGGGAAGTTATTTTGTAAATAATATTTTCTCTTCCTTTTTTTTTCAGAACAGTGATGTGCTTGCTGGCCATAATTACTGGCACTGGGCTTTATACTTGATTGAAAAGGTAGGAGGTATTTTCATATAGGTATTTTGTGGTCCAGATAGGTCATTCATCTAATGTTATTTAAAAGGCAGACCTAACATTTATAGAGTTTTTTCAGCTCTTTTTTATACAATAGCACAATGCCATTTTTACAAGCTAGTCGTTTATTACAATTATTTTGAGAAGTTTGAACTGCATTGGTCAAAGTTCCAGGATCTTTGTTAGAGTGTTGAAAAATTGCTGTGAGATTATTGCACATTTGAAGATCGAATAGTCTCACTGATTACACTTGGCACAGTTCTTTGGTAGAAAGATGAACTGGGATCTCTGATTTTCAGACAAAAATTAGACAAAATTCTCTTCAAATTCAACACTAATTTGCTGGCCGCAAAATTTCGTGACTTTAAGAAAGAGGCAGTAAGCTCTAAATTTGGTTGCAAATGTTAGTAATTATTAATGTTACTAATTCTGATGATTGAAACCCTTTAAAAATGGATGCAATTTTACCCAGCCGGTCAGGCTGCAATGCAGAATGTCCTTGGGAGAGAAACGTGACGTCATTGAGAAGGTGGTGTATTTTGGTCAGAAAACAGAGTAACTTGCTTTCATTTAGTGTTATTGACATAGAAGGAGCATAATTCTTGTTAGTAGTCTAACAGCCTGGTTTATTTTCCCACCTTCTATCTATACAACTTTTTTGTAGCCTGCTTAAAATTATTTTTCTTCCCACCTCTTTGCGTACACCATGGGATACACTAATTTTTGCAAAAATCCCTGAAAGGAGCAGTAAAACGAGAGGTAATACCTTGTCTTTCTCCTTCATGTGTAACTTACGCCAGTACCTATTATTAAATGAAACCTAAACATAGTGATTATTTTGCCTAGTAAATCCTGGTTTATCTTACACCCCATTCCCTCTTTTAATACCTCAAGGATTCTCTGATTCTGTTAGTTTTGATCAAGCCGTGAGGCAGTTGTGAAGTGATACTATGACATCTATTAATTGTATGTGTCTGGTTGGTTACTGCGAGTCGCTTTTGGTTACTGTATGTGAATGTTAATCACGCAGTCCTCGTTTGCTTTTACAGGGTGAATATGAGGCTGCTTTGACAATTTATGACAATCATGTGAGTAGAAGATTATTTATTTTTTTTTACTGAGAACATACTTAAGACCGCGATAGGTGCTTTCTGCCTCCTGTATGAGATTGAAACCTATCACAGTGTCCCATATATATATATACACACGTTATTTACATCTGGTGTTACAGTTTTTTAAGGAAACTGTTTCTCAACAGGTTTGGGTAAAATGCCCAAAAATGCCCAAAAGACTTGGATGTTACGCAGTTGAGGTGTTTCTTACACTTGTGCTTGAAAGAACTACAAGGGCACTGTTGGTGCTGTTTTCCATTCTGTCCACATTTCTTGTTCGTTCTTTTTAAAAAGACATAAAATAATTTTCCTATAAAGTCACCTTTACAAAGAACCGATTTGGCCTGTTAGGTACGTAGTCCACAGAAGGATGTCTTTTCATTCCTGGTTAATTTATTGTCATTCTTTACTGTCTGGATTTCAAAACAATCTTTGTAAATAAGCAAAATCAAATTAGATAGGATAACATATCTTTGTAAGGATTATAAAAATAATGCAAGCATCAAGAAAGCTGGTGGGCAGACTCTCATCTGCTGACCTTGGCGAAGTGAAGTAGTATTTATGGCACTGTTTTGGAAAAAATAAAATACCTTGGTGAGTCTCCATACTTACTGAGTTCAGCTTCTGAACAGGAAAAACAACACAAATGAAGCAATATAAATGTTTGTCATTGCAAGTTGCTGTATTCAGGAAAGATGCAATTAGGGCTATTGCAAAACAGGCATTTTTGAATGAATGAAAAGATGAAATGAATTCTGTACTGTGGAAAATAAGTTTGATTATCTGAGTAAGTTCCCACTAGCACATCAGGTGGGCAGCTTATGAATATCTGTGATTACAGATTGCTCCCCAGTGTCAGTCAAGTGGAAGCATGCTGGATGTCGTAGATAACAGTTCGATGCTGTACAGGCTTCATCTGGAAGGTAGGATATCCACCTGCCATTCTTTTTTAAAACTGTAAGGGGAACAGTTTTATTTTGACTTCCTCCCCCCCTTCCCCTGCCTTGCATTTTGGAAAAGTATTTAAATATGCTTACGGAGCAAGCTTCCTCCGTGTTACAGAAGAAATCTTCTGTTACAGCTGAAAATTCTGCTCTCGAGAAAAGTCTCAATATGAAATTCATAATAATGTCCATAACCTTTATTCTTCCCTAGAGCTGGTTTTTCTTCCACGCCAGTACGGTATTTCATTCAGCTCAAGCTAGCGTCGGTCACATATTTCTTTTTTGACAAATTCACTTCTCTTGTCCCTAGAGATTGGAGGCTGAACAATCAACTACATAAGCCTCTAAAAAGCTGTAGAGCTTCCTTGAAGTAAATTTCCAGTTAGATACTTAAGTTTCTGGTTTTATACTGATTGAAATAGCTCGTACATGTATATTAGCCTCTGGCTTCTGCGTACTGTCCTGACTCAGTGGCATTTCTCCTCAACTTTTTTAAGCTAGTGTTTATGCCCTAGAGTTTATGAAGCAGGGGGACGATGGACAGACGTTATTTTCACAGTGTTCAGCTAAAAACTAACGATGCATTGGATTTGTTGACGAAATCCATCTATTACACTGATTTTTTGATTGCTACAGTCAGTTCATTGTGAGCATCATCTTCAAGAAGACTTATAATCTCGTCAGTCGTTGATTTGAGTCTCAAGACTCAAATCAAATCTCATAATAAAGCCAGAACCTCGCATACGCAATCCAGGATATTGGTGATACATTACTGACAGTCAGTAAACTCTTTTCCCAGGTAGGACAGGCTGCAGCTGGGCATTGCTGTGTAAATTTTGCCACATCGGGGAAAGTATTCTTGAGTTTAGTAGGAGTGCTGTTTACGCTGGGTGACTGAAAGTGTATCGCAAAGTCACACTTTTGCAGGTGATATTTTTATTGAGAAAAATATTTTTTTACACTTAGGTGTAAAGCTCGGAGACAGGTGGAACAATATTCTCGAGCTTACAAAGAAGCACACCAAAGATCACATTCTTCTGTTCCACGATGTACACGTCTTGATGTCCTCACTTGGAGCCAAAGACCACAAAACTACTGAGGAGCTTTTAACAACTCTTCAGGAGCTTGCCAAGTAAGCAAGTGGATTAGTGTGTTGTCGTCTATAAATACTTTGTTCTCTGGCTTTCAGAGTGATAATGGCTCTGGCTTGCCAAAGCACTACCATGTGCGCTTCTCTGCTTTAGCACGTCACTGGGACATGGCTGGCTTAAGCAGGCCAATCTCCAGTTAGGAGATTCCCTATAATTATTTAAGTTAATGTCTAGAGGGTTTCTAGTCTCATCAGGCAGAAATCTCTTCTGTTTGAGGTCATGGACACTAACTGAACAGCTGCTGCGTATTTCCTTTCAATGGGTTCACACTAAGCTCCATTACATACCGTGAATCAAGTCTTTCACCTGTAGAGTGCCCTTACTGATACACAATACATGTCAGCTGTCTGTGGTGGTTCTTTTTTGTGCTGGTTTAAAGAGGTCTTTGATAATCGAGTGTTAGTTGGTAGTGATATTCCGGTGACTACTGTTTGATGTCTTGGGAGGTACCTCTGCAGGAAATTGAATTTCAAGTACTACTGCTAATAATAAAAGAAAGTATTTTGCTTTCAAATTGAATTACTTGAAAAAATGGAATATTTAAGTATTTCATCTAAACAATGTTTTCTTTGTGTTCCCTTATGTATTAAATCATTGTAAATTGCCTTGATTTTTTGGAAAGGGTTGATATATAGATGCTTTAAAGGCAATTTCTTCCCCCCTGCATTTTTCCTCTGTTTCAGCATCTATTGTTTTCCTTGCAGTAAAAAAGAAGGAAGGAGAACATGAAATTGTCACTATTTGTTCCTGACTATAACACCTATCAATCAAAAATAATAAAAATAAATGTAATTTTTAAGAATACTTACAAAACCAAATAACTGTCAAATGAAGCCTCAGCATGTCTGATTTGACTAAAGTAGGAAATAGCAAATATCTTTTATATATGTGTAAGTATAGAGAAAGTCTATAAAACTGCACATGCACACCCCTTCAGGGAAGCTTTAGTGAACGCACGCTACTTATCCCTTCACCCAGTGCTCCCTTTTGTCTGTGTGTTCAGCCTTTTGTAGCAACACAGCTGTACATTTTTAGCTGTAGTTTGAAGTATTACAAAGCTTAATTTTCTTATTTTGAGGAAACAGACTGTGCGATGGAGGGATTGGATTAATGGATTAATTTGATTGTGATACACATATATGTAACAGCTAAATGATACCTGAGGTGTGTTTGGTACGTGCGGGAAAAGCAGGCATAAAACTTGGGCACAAGTGTTCTTGGCTTTTCACTAATCTTTTTCCCCAGCGTTTGCCATTGTAAAGGGACAAGAAATTTTTTTGTGACGTGTTCCGTGGCGCTCTCTGGTGGTTGGTATCACATGCTGATTTTCATGGGTGGAAAGGTTAGTTAAAGCAGGGAGTATGTGGTTCGTCATGGATCAATACTTCAGATCAGCTGCAAGAGAACGGGAAAGGAAAAAAAAGTCTTCTATCTCTGTGCATTTTCTCAGAGAGCTGGAACACATGTTTAAATGAAGACTTGTTTCGTCATTTTCATCTTTAACTCTCTCAAACTACTTAAAATGGACATCTGTTGTGCACTTCTAACTCTTCAGGATGCCATATTTTGTTCAAGGAAAGATAAACACATTGGGCAACATCGCATACTGAAAAATCAACATTGACCTAGTGGAAGTATTGGGAAGTCTGTAATACTGACTCAAGGAGGAGAGCACAGAGTATTCAGTAAATTTAAGGTAGTAGCGTGGGAGTGTGACTCTCAGCTGCTGTTGCAAGCGCTCAGAACAGAAGCCACTGACTAAGGTTCCTCAATGTTAAAGATTCAATTGGAAAATTTACAGAAAAATCTGTTCCAAACAACAGATGGAATTTATAGCATTGAACCATGTACTGTTTAATAATTTATAGGGCTTGCACGGGAAAGCCCTCCTCGTATGGCCAGCCAGCCTTTTGGCACTGAAATGGCCCTGCCTCCAAGGCCTGATCGCTGTCAGCTGCTTCTGTAGCAGTGGAAAAACACAGAAACACAGTTCCACGCTGTCCTGTGCCGGTATTGCCTATAGACCAAAGAGTTTGGTTACTTGGCACTTTTTATTTTTTAATATTGGCAAGGATGCCTGCTAGAAAGTATACGTTATGCTGCAGGCATATTGTTGTGTGGTACACCTCTTCCACTCGTAGATGGGTTAGGATAGAAGTGCTAAAAAAAAAAAAAAGAAAACACCAGAAAGGTGAGCTAAAATCCGTTGCTGTTTGTGGGTCTAACAGCAGTCTGTCAGTCTGTCACGGTTAGCGTAAGGGAGCAGCCTCTGAGAGCCGCCGTCAGGAATACAGTTCATGTTACAAGGGCGGCGAGGCGCTGTGCTGCGTGGCGAGCTGTTCTGCAGGATTATTATTTGGAGCTGTTTGCAAGGGGCTGATTGCCACTTCTGGCAGAGATGAGGACAGTCAAAGAACTAGCAGTAGGACGTTCTGATGAGATCATCAGAAAAGAAACTGCAGTTTTCTCACTTTTCTAGCCAAAACTGTTTATTGAAAAAGGGGGGGGGGGGCTAGTGCCTTTTCTGGATATAATCAGAAGAATGAAAATGGCTTGATTGATGAGTAACAGAATGGTGGAAGTAACATAACCACACCAAAAGATATTATCTAAAGTACCCGAAACATCAGGCTTTGTACAGTAAAAGAAAAATTCTGTCTGCAGGCAGGGACAGAATAGCATCGAAGCATGCGTATTTGTAATTTGACTTACGGGATTTAACCACTTTCTTATTCTACAGAGCACCTCGTGAAGACCATGAGCTTTCCCTGGCTCCTAGTTTGGGGTTGCCACTGTGCCAGGCTTTTGTAGAGTTTGAAAATGGGAATTGTGACAAAGCTGTAGACCTGCTGTACCCAATCCGTTACGAGCTAATCCAACTAGGAGGCAGTGGTGCTCAGGTAAAGGACAGCAACGTAAGACTTCTTGATGCAACTTAATCCTCTTTCAGTAGCCTCCCTTAGGCACTTACATTATTAACACCAGTTCATTCTTAGAAAGTGAAAAGCTAAACTGTGCTTGTGACTGAATCCTGTTTGCAAGCACTTACTAGCAGTGCTGGGGATTTAATTTTTCTTGTTGATATGTTTCCTTCTTTGGTGGTTTTAATAATTAGGTAAATGAGACATTGTAACCAGCAGTATTCTAACTTACTTACTACTTTGTATTTTTGCTGACTTCTTTTTTCAGAGAGATGTTTTCAGCCAGTTATTGATTCATGCTGCTTTGAATTCTAAATCACAGGACAAACAAAACCTTGCAAGGTGAGTATTTTTCCTGGTAAATATTTGTGGAAGTAGTAGTGTTACTAAAAGTAAGAAGTAGCAAGTGTACTCAATCAAACCAGTAAATTAAGGCTAAAATTATGCACAAGCATTTGTGTTAAGTGTAGCCACGTTTAACTAGGGTAAAAAGTACAATAGCTTCCAATTCCAAAAGTACACTCTCGTGGTCTGGATGAATGATCTGTATTTGTTCAAGGGCAGTTGATGTCCAAATGGTTCTGTCCTAAAACATGGCCTCCTGCCTGTTGGTCAGTGTATTTAATGGACTGCTAAACTTCTGTGAACCACTGAAAATCAAATCTGTCCTAACGATGACTTTGCTTTATTGGGAAATAAGGTGTGCAGAGCCTGATCTGGGAGCTTGCATTAGTACCAGTCACAAGAGCCTTGTTTGGTTGAAGTGGTAGATGTTGCTGGTTCACCCATATCGAGTTCTGTTGAAACGTGTTGACTGGGCCTGCCCGTGTGCTTAAAAGAACGGATCTCTGGGACAACATGAAGCCTTGCCTGTTCCCCTCCTGCGGTCTCTTTGAAACGTAAAAATCAGATACACTATCAGAATGATTCTGCTGTGCACTCTGGTCTCTGGGTGCTCATTTTCAGCCTCTGTCAGTGCTGGAAACAACACTGTTCTGCCTAAACTTACTGCCAAGGCCAAATGTTCCCAGTAAGGGAAATCTGCACCTCAAGAGCAGGTCTTTATGTACTGCTTCCCTCCTCTTACGAGGATACTGCTGGTGATCTTGCAAGAAAACTGATGTTGTACTCATGACCTTCCTGATTCTCCCCTACCTCTTCTCCTTTCTCAGATGCCTCCTGAGAGAACGTGATGTGATGAGACCGAATTCACCACTGACGGAGCGACTTATTAGGAAGGCAGCAGCCATTCATTCAATGGCATGAGTCTTTCCTCTGCGCTTCAGCTGAAATAGCAATAAGCTTACCAATCAAAGGCTGGATGTAGGGAGTGGAGGGGTAAGAGTCAGAGATCTGGTGACAATTTCCTTAAAAAAAAAAAATATATATATACAGCTGTTGCGTCTCAGGGTAGGTTGGGTCTTAGATGATTCAACAAGGAAAGAAGATGATGGCCTGCTGATAACACACAGCTTTCTGACGCATCCAGGGACGCTGCCTTTCTGGTGTGTTTTCCTAAAAGTTCCCTCTGACCCTGACTATATCCAGTACGGTAACAGCACCTGGATTTCAGTCACTCCTTGGCCCAATTTGTTACTTTGTTAATATGTTAAATAATCAGTAAACTGCTCAGGTAATGCAGGTGAACCTTTTCAACGTAGCTAATGGGAAAGTATAGGGCCAGAGCCAATTCAGGCATAAACTGAATTCCATACCAAGCTTCCAGTCCATTCAGGCGTGAGTCACGGACTCTGGCATTAGAGATCTGTCTGCATTCAGGATCTCTTTCCAGGTGCGTGTTTTTTAACTCCTCTCATAAAAGGTTAAAATTTTTCCTTTCAGTATAGCACCTCAGAGCTTTCTGAAATTGCTATGTGAATGAAACCAGACCAGAGGGATCATAGTGAACTGTGACTGCTCTAACACGGGTGCTCCCTTGGCACTTTTAAATATTTTAGAAAAAAAGAAAAAGCCTGGATTTTAGCTGAAACAGTACCATCTCTGAACGATAGTTTGGACTGGCATCTTTGTGCTTACCTGAGCTTTTGGAAAGTCAGGCCTTACTGCCATTTCAATAGCGTGAGTCCCTACCTGTTAGCGAAGTAGACTTTGAAACCAATGTTAAGGCACGCACTTCATAGAGGTATCTCAGAGCTGGTGAAGCCTGGAAGGGAGCTTCTGCCATAGAAAGAAAGCTAAGGGGAACTGACACAAAGCTTTGTCCTGGCACAAGTGATGTGACAAGCTTTGGCGCTGCAAATGAGGCGGGATGTGAGGAAGTTCCAGTGCCTCTGGATTCCTGCCGCATAGCAAGAGCTACCAGGTTGTCTTGCAGCAGTAACCCAGAAATCCCTAACGAAGGGAAAGGTGACGTTTCAGACCAAAACGGCAATAATGGCTCCTCTTCTTCCTGAAGAGACATGCCACGCTCATCCGCTGCCCAAGCTCTGGCTTTGGCATCACATCTGCACCCTCTCCTGGACACACACAGGCCTGCCCCTCCTTCCTGCCCAGCTCAGGCTCTTCCCCACGTCCCACAGCAGCCCGATCCCACGTACACTTTACTTTTGACCTAAAAAAGCACTTTCATCACTGGCCCTTGCTGTCCCTGGAGTTCCTGCCCAGAGGAATAAAACGTGGAAGTGCCTTGCTGCCACCCTTCTTCCCCAGCTCTCACTTGAGGAAAAATTAGTTTATTTTTAAATCAATGATAATTTGGGGAACCAGATGGAATTGCATCCTTGTATGCAGCCTTTTGTGTCCTGCAGATAGTCGTAGATCCCTGTTCTTCAGCTTCATCACTGCTTTATCTGTCCAGCCAGGACTGGGATTAGCTCACCCTGCTAAAGGGATACTGGATTTTTACTATTATTTTTAATCCGTGCATTTCAAGCAATGACTTTAGACAGATAGCTTTTCACTCAAGGAATGTAACAAATCTTATTAGGGAACAACAGCCTGAGAAATCTGCTGGCTGTTCATGAAGCATGTAGTTTATGTGATCCATTGTTACGCAAATTTAAGAATGGCATTTGTAGTGCTCTACTTTTGATAGAATGTGATTGAGAATTTTGTCTGCTTTACTTCAATAAATTCAAAGATGTGCTCAGTTGAGCAGCAAGTATGTGACCTCTTTGCATGTATGGATGAAGTTTTAAATGGGTTACTCAGCTTAATCTCATAAACCTGTAACAGTACGTGTCCTCTTTGCTTGCATGAATGTGACTAAAGGCTTTTTTCAGCTAGTGCTGCACATTTTGCCCATAAACGAGAACTTCTGGTTTTCTGCCTTATCTTCCCTTTGTTTTTATCTAAAATACTCGAACTGCTCTGTCGTGCTTCACCATGCTACGCTGACTTGTTTTCAATTACCATTATGGAAAACAATGAACAAGCAGGTAGCTCAGTGAGAACAAGCAGAGGAAGAACTTGCCCAAGAACCCTGCTGACTCCCAAAACCTCATCTTTTTATACCTCAGCAGAGCAGTTGGAAAGCAGTTGATACCTTATATAAACATCTGCCGCTTACAAAAGAGGTACTGGTTTTGCACAGGTTATGCAAACACAGATCCCATCCTTGCTTTTGTTCCATCTTTGCCACACCCATTAAATTTAGCAGACACCCCCCCCCTCCAGGGCACTTTTTTTTTCTGGATTAGGAGGGGCAGAGGTAATAACGGTCCTTTGTGCTGTGCATCAGCCTGCCAGCATTACCTCAGCAACCATCTCTGTTTAACTTTGCTGGTGCTTTTACAGGATCCCCAGAGCGGCTGCAAGGGCAGCAAAAAAAAAAGCCTTTTCCAAACTGCTCTCCTAGTCATCTGGGCCAGGACCACGTACGGCACCGGCTCAGCCACCGCCGCAGCTCCCGCAGCGTTACCTGTTTCTTGTAGCTCCGCGCGGTGCGAGAGGGAGCTGGTGATGCTCTGTTGGCCTTCGCTGCTGTCAGCCCTGCTCCTGGCAACGTCAAGCAGGGCGCTTTAGAAAGTCGGCTGCAGTGGGGCTAGCTTTTAGGAGCCATTCAAAGAATTGTTGGAGACCTGTCCGGTTCGGACTGCCCGTGCTGTTACGCTGTACTGAAACCGACTGTGATGACACACTCCTAGGTGTAGGAGCCTGCTGTGAAAGCACAGCTGTCACCCATCATCTCAGGCCATGCCTAGGCTCCTGCTGCTCAGCCCCAAAGCCCTCCAGTACTGCAGCTTCTGGGGGGTGGTGGTGAAGAAAGTCTATCACAGCATCAGTGGTATCATGGCCAACTATTGTAGCCGATACGTTGGTTTTGAGTGATTTTTTTTGTTTGCAAGTCAAGACCAGACTTATTAACCCAGGATGAGGCATGGTTTTTAAGCAAGTTTTCAACACGTGTTTTCCTGGCAGAAGGGCATACATACAGATCTTTCCAAACACAAAATCAAGGCCTCAGTCAGCTGCAGGAAGCGCTGCGATAGCTTCTTTAACGTCTTTGTATGCACAGCTACTGACCAAGACCTTTGGAGAGGGTATTGGGCCTACCTGTGTACAGCCACCCCACGGTCTCACAGGCCACGACAACACTCGGCAGCGGTGAATGGGCTCGTTCCGAGGCATTGAGTCGTTTTCCTGAAACACGGCATTTGTCTTGCGGACTCCCGCTCGCAGCTGCCTTGTCTTTGGGATGCAAGAACCCAAAGAGCAGCTGTGCCAGAGGGGCTGCACTTTCACAGCTTTCACTTCTTCACGGCTGTCACCAATGCAGCATCTTTTTGTGCCGAGGCTTGAACATGCCAAGGAGCAAAACAAAGCCCTGGAGCCTTGCAGGGCCTGGGAAACTGTGCTCACGCCGCTCCATCTCACAGATACCACGAAACACTCCGTTTTAATACCTGAAGGGGTTTGGGCGGGGTGGAGGGAGGAGGCTCGACTAACAGAGCTGCTGACCAGCTGACTGCTAGGGCTGGGGCTGGACTACGCTGCATTGTGAGCAAACCAGCTGGTTGGCACCCCAGCTTACAGGGGGAGACTGGAAAAAAATTGTATCCAAAGGTAAAATGCTACAAACATACTAAGATTTAGGGGTTTTAATAAAAGTTTACAGTGGTGCTGCTTATAAGACATTCTGGCGCTATTCTCTGGGTCTTGAAACATGAGCAGTAGTTATTCCCTCCTTAGAATAAACCAATACCTGGCTACCTCTACATATTAAAACCAGTAGTGCTGCTACTACTTCACCTTATTCTTTCCCCTTTTTTTAGGGCTTTAACAACTGCTCAGAGCAACTGTTTAATTACACGGAATTCAAACAGACTCCAACAGTACTTAATATTAAGGGTATCTTCATGAGAAAGTTCATTTACAGATGTATTTTCCCTGAATCAGTCCATATTCTGTCCTTCATACCTGGCTAAGCATCTGCACCACAACACAGAACCGCACCCATGCAGTTCCCGGGTTTAGAAGCACAGCCAACAGGAAGACAGGGAGCACACATATTACGGGGCTGGTTCGCTCTGTCTGTTCAGTTGTGCCAGAAGTTCACGTACGGAGACAAACTGCACACTAACAAGCAAAAAAGTGAGTGAAACCCCATTTTATTTGCAAATATAGCAAAACTCAATGATTCGGGCACTGCACAGGCAAACAGAAGTCAGAGATCTTAAAAAGTGGTAAAAGCATCCCCTTTTCATGCATTACTGATGCACGTTTTCATTTAGTTACAAGACAGCGATTTTAATAAGATTTTCTAGTTTTATATACTTCCCAGTCCTCTTGGTAACCTGCAAACTTTGAGCAGTACATGTGTGGTTGACAGACTTGTATCGAAGAGGCAAGTAGCTGGGAGGCTCTTTGTGTTAACTGTAAAGTGTACCTGAAAGTGAAAAATCACTGCTCCTCTGCCCTCAGCAACAGCCCCTCTCTTAACCGCTAGGCCACCTCAGTAAGACGTCTGTGTGCAGAGGGTCTTCAGTTCGATTAACCTACAAACTCCTTATTAAAATGCATTAGAAAAACTCTCATGGAGTTTCTGCATTTTCTTTTGGGGACCATAAAAAGCATGTAACTTAATAAAAAAGGACTTAACCGTTAGTAGGGCTGTACGTTACTAACAAAGACAAAGTAAGTGTAGCAAACCACAGACGCAGGGAAGCAGAATCCAGGGTCACCCGCAGCGACCTGACAACACGAAGAGCAACTGCATTTGTCAGCAAGTTCTCTGCGAGTTGCCCAACGCAATGTGGGCAGCAGAGCACGTATACGAAGTGTCTTAGGACAGCAGTTCCACCACTGGCCTCGAGAGAACGTGAACTGGTCTCTTCCAGTCACGTCATATTTCTGGAAAAACGCAAGTTAACGTATACGAATAGGACAGAAAATATCAATGCTGCTCAAGAGGCTTCTCCTGTCCTATAGCATTTGCTGAGCAAACGGTCACGTTGAGAAAATACGTGGCCACATTCACTTGAAAGGCCGGCTGGTTGTGACACAGCCTTTATATACTCACGGCCATTAGCTGCAGCCAAACCACCAACCTGTAGTACCTGCGTATTCACAGGCTGTGACTGCCTCAGTTTCGCTTGAGCTCTATCCTTGTAGAGGTCGCACCGCAAGTTACGGCAGAGCTGCAAAAATCATTTGATCCAACAATTTTCTGATCTAAACAGTAGCTGCCATTGTACAGATGGAACTGCTCCACTTGAGAACTTAGGACGTGTAAAAATAAGCTTTTTCATTGCTTTGTTTTACCATTTCAAATAGCAAACTAGGATCAGCATTAAGCAGCAGCACTTTGCAAACTAAATCAAGTCGTTCTTACGTACACTGACTTGTTTAGAATTGTGATAGATGAGAGGATCAAGAACACAACATTCTGCACTGAAAAGAATCGTTGACTATTAAAAACCCGAGTTCGCTTAAAAACTACTGTACTGTTATTTTTTCTCTTAACTGAACTGTTTGCAGAGAGAAATCCTCTCTGCTCTATTTCTAAGAAAATGCATTCACAATTATTTGGCCACGGAAGTTGTACATTCAACTTCCCATCCCATGATTCTGATTCTTCTGCTATGGTTACCCAAATGTCTATGCTTCATTTGAGAAAGAAAGAGAAGATAAGGCGATTAGTTTCAACAAATGTAACACCTGTTTTTTGCCAGCCCTCCTCAATACAGAAATTCTTTGGATTAACATTCCGAAGGATCATATTAGAAAGAACAAAGTTGTCAAGTAGGGGAACACCTGCAATATGGAAAATAAGATGAGGGATACAAACAGCTCTGATCCCTCTAAGACACAACGCATCTTTCCGTTCCCTCCTTATACTCTATTATATACTCTGGGTAAATCTGGTATTTTTCAAAGACAACAAAAATGGAGGGATTTAACTCATCGTCCACGCAGCTGTCATAAAACCGAAGCCCGTCAACAGACTTTGTCGGGGGGCGAACATAGGCTGCGTTGCCTTTAACGTAATCTCCAACCAATACACGAGCCACGAACATGATGTTTGTTTTTCCTACAGGCTGACAGTATCCGTGGGAATAGGAAGCATCTCTAGCAAAGTAATTTCCTAGAAAATGATATGAAAACACGGTTATAAGGAATGTGTATAAAGTGACAGCGAAAACTGAGCATCTCCTTGGTTTTCAGGAGGTATTTGACCCAACTTTCAGGTCTCGCAGAATGGTGGGAGTTGGAAGGGACCTCTAGAGATCATCTGCCAAGGCAGGTTAGCCCAGAGCAGATCACACAGGGACGCATCCAGGCAGGTTTTGAGTCTCTCCAGAGAAGGAGACTCCACAGCCTCCCTGGGCAGCCTGTTCCAGTGCTCTGTCACCCTCAGAGTGAAGAGGTTCCTCCTCATGTTCAAGCGGAGATTCCTGTGCTCCAGTTTGCGCCCATTGCCCCTTGCCCTGTCCTTGGGCACCCCTGAGAAAAGCCTGGCCCCATCCTCTTGACACCCACCCTTTAGATATTCACAAGTGTTGATAAGGTCCCCTCTCAGTCTGCTCTTCTCCAGACTAAAGAGCCCCAGGTCTCTCAGCCTCTCCTCTTACTCAGTTTACAAAATACCATAGAAATTTTTAGAAGGGATTTCCCATTCAGAATTTGCTATTCTAGGATTATTTTTTAAAAAAACAAAACCTATAAACCCACCAGAGGTGTGTGTGGTATAACGAGAGAGGTGGCCAAGAAAACATGAGGACCTCCCATACCATACCGAGGGAACACACACCCTTCTTGCTCCCTGCCATGAAGACTAGTGGCCATTTCTCTGGCAAGTTCAAATTACGACCCGGAGGCTTCAGAAGACCCCACCTACAGCAACAGAGGCTTTTTCAAATCCTTACATTAATTCTCTTAACACTTTGTGAAAATACTCAGCCCTGCACAAAAGAAATCCTTGTCCTCTCCAGAGGGAAGGAAGATCATAGTATCACTTGTCTTTTTTTTTTTTTTTCCCCCCCCTCCATAGTTCAAGACTTCAGAACTTTGCTCTAGTATCAGGGGACTGTAAGTAGACATCTAACACAGTCACCTCCTACGTACCCTTTCCATAGTTAGTTCCATTGCTTCCACAATTTCTCCAGTCAAAGTTGTGAACGCAGATGGTTTCCATGAGGGAGATCTTGGTTCCGTGGAACAAGAGCTTTTCATTTACTTTCTTCCCTCCATTTCCCCTTTTCATCTGCTCCTTTTGCCTAACGGAAAAATGCAGCGGAGGAGAGCGTCAGCAGTGGAAGAGAAGGGAGAGAGGAATTTTTTTAAAAAGTATATAACGTACACGTAAATATTGGCTGGATGAGACTTCCAGTCTGCTTTCTCCTCTCTCAGCTTGGAAGGTGGGACAGACCAGCAGTACGATGAACAATGACAAGATGAGCGATACAGAGATTCCGCTGCTCAGCAATTCTAGGCAATTCTGGCTTTCTTCAGTGAATTTAAGTAAGCATTGACACAGTCCCCACTGTACCAACCTTTTGCTCCTCTGTGGGGTCCTACTAGTTCTGCTTTAATGTCTCTTGTCCCTTCCTACCCCCAAACCCTCTGCGGAGTGGAGGCTGCACTAAGCGCAGAGCCTCTGTGCCCCAGCAGCGGGCAAAAGCTAAAGGCAGCTGCTTCTTCATGGCCACACACCCCGAGCTCCTGCCCCTCGGCGAGATCAGTGCAGATGAGGCAGAGCCAGAAGGAGAAAAACTGAGCCTTCCTTCCCCACAGAAGGCCTTACTGCGTTAGGCCAGAGTCAGACTGAGCGATGAGCTGTACCGAAAGAGGAATCACAAGGGAAGGCTCAACTAGGGTCTCCCATCACCATTTCACAGCATCCAGACATCCCGCAGGTGTTCAGAAGCTGTCGAAGTTGACAAGACAGTAATACTCTTCAGAAAGTGATCAGCTACAAAGCAAACGGAGCCAGGGAGAGGGGAGAATCCTTCCAACTGGTAAACCGTGTAAATGGAAAGTGAAGAGCAAGGGGCTGAAATTTGTTCACTGAGAACTCGGCAATGTTAAACTCTGCCTAGTTAGCTTAATTATCTCCGTGGAGGAGGAGGAGAAAACGAAATAGTATGCACTGTTACATGTTCTGAAGCGCCTTAAGTTTTGCTAGATGAAAAGGCTTTACGAAGTGATTTGCTGGTGACTTCCTGGGTTCAGTCACTTTGCAGGTGAAAGTACCTATTGGAGCAGTATTTTTCTTCTCCATTACCACTCCATACAGCCCTTGAACACTTACTATTAAGTATCCGTGCTTTTGTTTTAAACTAGACAACTGGTCTATGCAACAGCTTAATCTGCTACCAAAGTAACTCGAACACGGCTGTTCATTGTCGCTAGCACCAGCTCAAACCTGCTGGTGTCTGGCTTGGTCTAAGTACTTGGAGCTCAGCATCACTGATGCAGGTGTTGAAAACCAGAAAGGAGCTCTGGAACTCGGAGATCGTCAACTGAAAGCACACGGATTCTTTCTCAGTGCACGCTGACTGCATTCAGCAAGGGTACTCAAACTCTTGAGAAAGCCTTAGGTAGATTCTGACTGCAAAAAGACCCAAGCACCCTTCAGTTTTTTAGCAAGTCTTTCACGTAGTCTGACGGATAACCACTGGTAACGGACAGAACACGTGAGCAGCAGGCAGTTACTGCTCCGTCCCCGAGATGAGGCACTATTTCACATCGCTGTGGGTATCCTCATCCCAGTTTTGCATCATTCATGTCTTTCTGTCCGTACCACTCCCCTCATCTTCCAAGGAGCCGTGCAAAGGGAACCTCCCCCCAGGAGCACGGCATTCTCTGCAAGGCCTTAGACACCAAATTTCACTCCCAGAACTGCTAAGAAGGAAACACCAGTCACGTTAAAGCACAGAAGCTCCTAGGGAGTAGGCACAGGACACCAGCTCCTGGAGACTCCCTCCCCATAAGGATGAGGAAACAAATACTAACCACTGAAACATTTTCCAGAGGGACGGATTCTGAATCCTCTGTATTTTAAGGACCTTATAGTGTTTCATAGTCTGGTGAAACAGCTGCTTTATTCCGTTGTATTCAGAGGTTGTGTTACTGATTTCCACTGCCTATGAAATATAAACCAAAGCAAAAGATGACATGAAGCTTCAGTTAGCTCATAACATGCAGAAGCCTAATTACAGCAGATACACGTTCAGAAGGGTCCCCAAACTAGACTTAGGAGGGTTAATTTAATGCTTTAGATCATGACTATGTGAATAATTAGGACAGACTTAATACGTAAATCAGTATGTCATTCCTGCTTTGCAAGGACACCTCACCTCTCTTCAGGAAGGATGCTGAAAGTGAAGGATCAATTACATGTTTATCATCTCCAAGTAAAGTTGACACTTGTAATTTTGAACCTCAATGAAACAGAAATTTTAAAGAGACCCCTTGACTGATTATTCCAGATAATATTAGTTTTATATATAAAGCTGATTAAGAACAAAAGATGTGAGATAACTATCATTTGTAACCAGACATTTAAGGGAGCTTCAGCTATTCAAGAGGAAACAAACAAAATATGCACAGCCTCCCAGCTCCTTAACTTTCCAAAGTCAAATAGAGACTTAAGACAAGAAAGCTACATTTCTAAACATAAGAAAACAAGATTCTAGTAGGAATGTTACACTAAATACCTGTTTAAGCAAATACATCTCCTCCTTTCCTAAAGGAAACAAAGTCTATTTACCCATACTTTTCTTGTTTAAAAATCCATCAAGAAATGCACATTTTTCCCAAAGAAAAGTTAACGCAAAACATAATTAAAGCATGATTCGAGCTCTTCTGCTTGCTTATGTCATGCATACATTTTCCATTTTTTCTCCAAAGTAACCTGTGCCTTTAATCTTCTAGAATAAACACCTATCTTCCATAAACCGGACTGAAAACGCAAAATGCTGGCAGACTGATGTCACTTGGTAATACTTTCCCCTTTACTGCTGCCTAAGCCAAGTGGGGACTCAAGATGACCTGAAATGCCCAACACCCCAGGTATCAAAGCTGTGTTTTAAGCAGGAAAGCTGTGGTCATCCTAGGAGGTAGAGTGAAATCAACACCTTAACCTGTCAGGTGAAAGCTCCGCACTTCAGAAGACGAGCTTGGAGAGAAGGTAAAATAGGACCTAATTTCACAGCTGCATATAAATAAATAAGTGTTTTTCTGGACACCATGACCAGCTCATGCATTAAGTACTTACTGACGAAGAGGCCTATTATAGGGAAGTCTTCTAAGGATTAAGAATAAAGCCCAGCTGCACAAAGAAGAATTATTTCTTAGAATTTATTAAAAAGCTTTTACAAGGTTGAATGAAGTTTTCCATGTCTTAACACAAGACTATTTTCCAAAGCTTATTTACAACACATAAAACAATTTGGATGGGCGAGTGTTTATTATCTGCATGCTCTGTGATACCACAGCTCAAGCTGCTCACCATCACCTACAAGATGAAGATTACGTCACTGTATTTCAGTATCACGCCTTATATTTATGCATATGCAATTCTTATTTAGACTACAAATATGCTTTTGCCATGTTGCATCATTTACTGAGGAACTGTAACCTTCCTGGGTAAAACAGAGGGTCAGCCACGTGGTACAAGGCCCAGTCCTGTAAGAAAGGTACTTCAATTATTTTATCATACGCCGGCCTCCAAGCAATGAAGTCTGTTCTCTTTTGCATGAAAACTTTCTGGGATAGTCCTTATTTCCCAAGGATGCTTCCCCTGCTAATAAAGGGTAACACCACATTGCTATTGAAGGTTGGTACTTCATAATGACGTAACTTCTTCAGCATTTTTCATCTTCAGACCTAAAAAGGAAAACCCTAGCAAGCATAAGCATTTGCTAAACCACTATCAAGGGGTGGAGCTGCTGAGGCAGAGAAGAATCACTGCCCTGTCAGTGGATGACCGTACGAGAACAGGACTCTTGTGACACCTCGATGTCTGGTTAACTTTGCTTTCGGAAGCAGCATAGTTTGCATCAGTGCCAGTGACCCAACTAGAACTACCTTCTATAAAGCACACACGGAGACTCTTCGCATTGCATCAGCTCCCACCCCTGTTACAGCACAGCAGCCTTTGGCACGTGTGTCAGGATTCAGCAACACCGCAGCCACACAAGGGCTAATGCTCTGACGTGAACCCACCCACCCATCGCGCCCACTTCTTGGTTGTACATTAAAGATACGAGTTGAAACCCAGCATGAAGTTCCATGACTATATCGATTCTTTTTTTTTTGTTTGCCTTTAAAAGGTCTACCAACTACTAATTCCACTTTGCCTGTTAAACAAAGACAGAAGAATTTCACACCAACTTTCCTGCTGGTGTCACCAATTTCCACTGTGCATTTCGTACGCGCTACTTTCTGTAGAACTACGATTCTAAATGACTTACAGGTTAAGACACTGCAACACTCAAAAAACAAGCAACATTACCAAAACAGAGCTGCGTTTTTTTTTTAAGCAAAGATGACTTTCTCCCTAGCTCATATAGGTGTTCATTTTTAAAATGGATCACTTCCAGCGTAGTGAATTTTGCCAGGATTATTTCTCAATGTCTGAAGAGAAGCGAATTCATCAAGTCGGAATTGTCAGGTCTTACGACGGTCACCACACACACGCAGGATCCCAGCCAGTCCCAATATTACCTACTGCAAAAAAACAAGCTTAGGGTCCCACAGAAATATTTAATCCAGCCCAGGCTTTCACTTTTAGCACCAACAGGTACTGTGGGCTTTGTCACTCTTTAGGCACAGAATGAACTTCTCCTTTCTGATGAAAGGCGCTCAGTTTACAAGTTAAGAGATGGTTTCCTTAGGTACCAACTCGGCAAGCAAACTGAGCTCTGGGGAACAAGATGATCCTTCTGTTTCACACATCTCCACAAGTACCACCAGCGATACCACGGATCCACGCATCATGTTCCAAAGCCTCTCACACCTCAGAGACTCCAGAAACACCCCAACAAATGGGCTCAACTAAAATTCAGACTGAAGTTTTCAGAGTAAATGAGGGAAGCAGTTAAGTACATACAACTCAGAGACCTACAAAGAACTGAGCTGTCTTCCTGACATTCTTTTCAAAAATTTAAGCTGCCGATAAGCCAAGGGAAGAGCTGATTAGCTATATCCTTTATTATTTTGACAGAGCTGAAAATATCACAGGCCCAAATCTTCAAAAGGTCTGTCTGCCAGATTCCCACACAAACTCATTATTAGTTCATTCAGCAAGTGCTGGACACTCGACCATTTTACAATCTTTAAAAGTTAGGGGTTTTTGCTAATTGTGAAAAACAGCTGTTTGAAGTGAGCTGGTGTACAGAGCAGTTGACTTAAATTTTACCTATTGATTTTTCATCAGAATTGTATTTAGATCAATTTGCTATACACGAGATGAATTTGCTATACACACACACGGCCAGATACTGGGGTGACACGGAGTAAGGCACAATCCAACACAAGAGGGTAGTTGGGGTAAAAAGAAACATTCAGCACAGAGCAGAACAACAGAACCCAGCCCATGGAGGCTGACAGACGTGATACTTTTGGTTCTCATGCCCCTGCCAGTGTAACTATACTAGGGAAAATAAAACACAAAGAGTGAAAATAGCAATGGGGGTCTCTGTCAGCTGAAACTAGCCAGAAAGAATTCCCAGTCTGGAAATACGATATTACTTCTGCCCTGTCCCTAGCCATCAAGCTGTCTGTGCCAATACAACTTGGTCAGCATCATACAAGATTCTGTGACACAGTCAACAAGGAAAACCTCTTATGCTCCACATCACGTGCTCTTCTTAATCAGGGTCAAAACTGCTATAAAAAAAAAAGGACAAGTGTAAAAGGCTTTTTTCAAGCATACTGTAGTACTTCCACCGTCTGTGTTGCTCTTCCTGAAGGACTCCTCCTTACTACCATTAGGTCTAGTAATTTAAAAGACACCTTCACGTTTTTGGTCTTGGTAGACTAAATAGGAACGTAGACTTTGGGCTGACGTGGGTTTGTTTTGTTGAAGAGATCACTGCAAATGTTTTTTTGGTATTATTGGCTGCAACTCTTTATTTCTGCCACTCCCTGAGGCCACGGTCTGTGCTCAGATCTGTGATATACATGACAGTACTGGGTGACTTGAAAGAGCACATAGAGATTTCCTTTCCTAGATCTCCAATCCAAACTTTATCCACCTACACAGAAAGGGTTTGGTCTCAGCCCAGCTTCCAGTGAAGAAATACACACTTCATAGAAGGCCCTTGCTTAACTGGTCCACTAAGTCTCCAAAGTAAGCCTTTTTTTATATTTTTAACTAAATCTTTTGGTCCGGAATTTGATGAGTTTTGGTTTTGCATGTAGATGCTGTTCATGGGAATTTGTCACCTTTTTCAGGAGCTCTTGGGAGATCACCTAGATTTTTAGCACACCCACCCAAGAAATCATTCCTGTCCCTTTTTTGCATCTACCCAGTTACAACAGCTTCAGTTAAGCAGCATCCTCTTTTGAATCATGCCTTTCCATCGGAATTACAAGAGCGGGGGGGGGGGGGGGGGGGGGAGGGAAAAAAAAAAGATACCTTGTATCCCAAGTCAGGCAGCGCAGACTGATCCCAGTGTACAGGACAGGTTTGATCCGGAATAGAAGAATCCCTCTGGCTGTTTGCAAACAAACAGAAAACAAGGTGTTAGTAATCCTGGTACTGCTCTGAACATTTGGACTCTATGATCTCGAAGGTCTCTTCCAACTGAAACTGTTCAATGAGTCTACGATTTCAATTGGCAGCATCCACTTTGGTCAATTCCTACACTTAAAAATAAACCAAATAAACCACAAAGAAACTGGGAAACGGCCTCAGTCTGTAAGCTGGGTTTGCATGCTGCCGTTCAATCGTCACAGCCCTCTGTCACTTGCTTTGTTAAGAAACAACTGTCCATCACCAGCCCTGTGGATGCGGTACCTGGAGTAACATGTACCCCAGAAACCAGGTGATGCGACATAGCTTCTGCTCAGTCAAATGGGTATGTTTTCTTCTAGCAACAGCGGCGTTCTTTGCACAACTATGGCCAGCGCTGGCAGCCATTTTGCCTTATAATTACTTCTGAAATACGAAACCCCAACAACTTGAAGAGTATCATTTACCCTTTTTTTATCTTCTGCACATCTTCAGAAGACACAAACTTTGGTCGCCTGCGAACCTGTCTTCGAGTTTTAAAAGAGGTGTTTGTCTGGGTCATTTCTTGAGGAGAAAAGAGAAGGAAAAAGAAAAAGTCACTAACACATCTACAAGGTGGAGTCATTAATTAATGACAGTCATTAGTTAACGAGAAGTGCATATTCATTGCCAATTCTGTCTGCTGAAGAACAGTTGCACAAAGCTTACGTAAGCTTATGTCCTTCCTGTAACCCTGTTACTTAACCTGTGCCTACCTTGCTTGTAAGTCATTCATGCTCTCTCAATGTTGCTCCAGCAGCACAGAAAGATGCTTGATTTTTCATTTTTACCATCCATAGTGTTCACTCACTTTTCTTAAGGTTTACCATGACTTTATGTGAAGACTATCAATCTTTTTATTTCTGGTCCAATGTCAGTCTGGATAGTGTCAAGGAATAAGGGGGAAGGTTAGTTTTGTAAGGAATTTCCTCTGGGCCATCACTAGCTCACTTTCCCTTTCCAATGAATATATCTGGTAGCGTTGGTAAAAGAAGTCATAGGTTCTAAAGCTGGGATAGCTTGCAAGTTAGTCTTTGTAAAGCACTGCACAGTTGTAAATGAGAACCTTTAAAATGAGTACCTTTAAAACTGAGCTTGTAATGATGCAAGCCAGCCTGGAAAGATATGGTGGCATCTGGATCTGCTAGATACAAATTCTCAATAATAGCAGAAGATGGTGATTTCACACTATCCCCTTCTCCCTTTGGGGGAACGAGGAGGAGAAAAACAAACAAACAAACAAACAAACAAACGAGAGACAGAAGAGTAATAAGTGAATACAGTCAGGACTAAACCCTGAATAACTAGTTTGGGTAGAGGTAAACAGGAGGATGAAGATGAAACTACCCAGAACTATGATGGCCTAAAGCGCAATTACCAAACACTCATAACATACACACAAACACAAAATAAGGAATGATGACAAACGTGTATCCTATTTAAATTTCTGTAACACGGTGTCCTGGGTTTGGCTGGGATAGAGTTAACTTTCTTCACAGTAGCTGGTACGGGGCTGTGTTTTGGATTTGTGATGAAAACAGTGTTGATAACACAGGGATGTTTTAGCTATGCTTAGCAGGGCTTACACAGAGCCAAGGCCTTTCCTCACACCACCCCACCAGCGACTGGACTGGGGGTGCACAAGGCATTGGGAGGGGACACAGCTGGGACATCTGACCCCAAGTGAGCAAAGGGGAACACCATACCCAGGTCATATCATGCCCAGCAATAAAAGCTGGGGGAAGGAGGAGGAAATGGAGGATGTTTGGAGTTATGGCATCTGTCTTCCCAAGTAACCATTACACGCGATGGAGCCCTGCTGTCCTGGAGGTGGCTGAACAGCTGCCTGCCGATGGGAAGCATTGAATGAATTCCTTGTTTTGCTTTGCCTGCGTGCGTGGGTTTTGCTTCACCTATTAAACTGTCTTTATCTCAATCAACCAGTTTTCTCACTTTTACCCTTCCAATTCTCTCCCCCATCCCGCTGTGGGGGAAGGGCACGAGCGGCTGTGTGGGGCTTAGTTACTGGCCGGCTGTGACAGATGCCCTCGCCTCCTTGACCAAACCAGGTGGTAGTTTGGTTCAGGCTCCAAAGGAAGTAAAGGCCTGGGCCATGACTGGGCCATGAACTTCTCTAGTTCCAACCTGTTCTCTGCAAACCCACAGGAACAAGGTGACATGGTGAGCATTGATGCATATGAGCTTGGAAACCAATCATGCAATTAACACATGAATAGCCAGTGGTTCTTCCAAGACTAATTTGTCAAGGAACAAAGCAAGCTGTGGGTAGAACAAGTGTCACACTTACCTTTTCTATCACGTATAATTTGACTGAGAGCCAACCACTTTATTCCATAAATCTGGCAGCCTGAGTGAGCCTTTTTTGAGCTCTCCCTACTAAGGAGTGGGCCGTACAGCAGTGATCGCCCCTTGAGCTGGGATGCCTCTCAAGGGTACTCCTTGAGAGTGAGAGACCCCTTACCAACTGCAGATCTTTGGTAAGTGACCGATAATGCACGTAACATTGTATTACAGCGTACTAAGGTTTTTTATTCATAACTTTTAATTATTATTATATCCTCTGCACAGTAAGTAATAGAGTGAACCTTGCCGTCAAACTTTAAGTCTCACTTCTACAATGTCCTACTTCAATAAAACTACTTTTGCTGCTACCTTTGGTGGTGGTTCTTTAAACAGCCTAAAATCTCCTCTGCCACGAACCAGTGTAGTCGGCAGATTCTAAATCTGCTCCACGGCACCAGTGTTAAACCACGATGCAAGTGTAATTCTTTAACGTACAAAACAATGTAAAATGCGAGGTATGCTGAAGGAGACACTTCCCATTTAAGCTGCCTACTGAAATCAAGACACATCATTGCCAGAGCCACTATATCCATCACCTTTCCCTGCACCCCTGGATCACCTTTGTATTCTGCCATTTGTGTAGCTACACTGTGAACCAGATGGGGAAAACTCATCTGCCCGGGGGGAAGGGGAGATTCCTTATTTATTTATTTTCCTGCATTTTTCAGACAGATAACTCTCTCATCAAAAAGGATTTGGCCACCCAAGGAAAAAGGTAACATTTGACTTGAGAGAGCAGAGCAATCCTTGCATGTCCAAGGAAGGAGGACAATGCTCAGAAGGGAGGCAAGACTACTTCCTGAGTAATTTAAAAGGCAGTATCTCTCAAGGACAGTATATACATGTTAAATCTGCATTGAAGCCAAAAGGGAATCTGACTAGAGATGCCAGCATGCATCATCAAAAATAGTATGATTAACACGCGCTGAAAAAAAAGGCATTTTGCTTTCCTCCATTTGCCAACAACGTCCGTGTCAGGAAAGCAGTTAAAACAAATCTTCCCGACACAAAAGACAGATGACCTTTCATACTGAATCTCACTGCAAGGAGACAAGGCATGTTCCCTCCCCCCCAGCCTGTCATCATTTTACCACATCAGTTATGAACATCTGTAGCTTCACTGCCTTACTTGACACCGTAAAATTTAAGCACAAGTATTTACTTAATTAACCTGGCTGAGTAAAGGGGAGTGGGGGGAAGAGGCTCCACACATTTCTTCAGAAGTGACTCAAAGCACGGGATGCGGACTCACTTGTTCTCCATACTCAATCCACTGGCCTCGGTCATTTTTCCAATACCAAATCCACTCCGTGGTCAATAAAAATGAGGGTTTTGTGACTGATGACGGTGTGGAGAGGCGTCGAATTGAAGAGGAACAGCAGGTCATTGTCTGGAAATCAATGCTCTTATCTGCTATGCTGTAAGGACAAATTCAGGTTTATTATAGTTAACAGTATATATTTTATCTTCTAATGCCCAATTTAGGCTGGTGTAATTTTCTTTAATATGACTGTCTGAACTTTATTAGGCCCGAAATAAGACTATTTCCCACAGCATGCATGGCAACTCTGAAAACTGCTTCCCATCTTCAGAAGTGAACTATGGCCTGCGGGACACCAAATGCGCACTCAAGCGCTAGCCAGATGTTGCACTGCCAGCTTTACTGACAGTCAGGGGCTACATGTACAATGTGGCAAAAGGTATTTCTGCAAAAAATAAGCATGGTTACAGGTTTTTTCAGTACCGAAACAGAAGCTGGTACGCAACTGAGTTTGCCAGCAAACACCTGCAGCTTATCAACTTTGTCCTTTTTGTGTGGTTACAGAGGATGCAATCACAGCTGTGAGTTCTGTGAATAGCATTCATCACTGGAGCCACCTGGGCTCTTGCTCCTGGGAAGCTTGAAAAATTAACTCTCAGGCAGAAAGACTTTGAAAGCAGCCTCCTCTTGGGAATCTTGCTTGTGATTTGCAACATCCAGCAGCCTAGTCGAGCTGCAAATCAAAATCATCTGCTGTCTGAAGAGGCATGGGCCAAAATGACAATACCATTTTATTGAGGCCAAACTTGGGGTCCCCTATGAGTCCAGGTGGCTTACAGTGGGGCTTTCAGAAAGGAGTTAAAGGGAATATGCACTCTAAAAAAAAAAAAAAAAAAAAAAAAAAGAGGGGTGGCTCACAAAAGGGGTTAATAAAACTTCTCTAGGCACATTATAGATATTATTATTATTATAGCTACTAGCTGTATTAGGAAAGGAATAGCCACAGAGAAGAACCAGCTCTGAACTGCTGGTAAAAGGCTCAACTTAGTTATAAATAAATTATGGTTCATTATCTGAAATACTAATATTTTAAGCACTAAATTCCACCCCTCTTCTTTTTACCCTGTATAGTTTTAAATGCAAGACATTGTTGTTATTTTTAGAAGACAAAAATGGGATGATATTTCCATGCAATCACTTCTATTTTTCTTTTTAAAAAGAAAACCTTATTTGTACATCTGCCCAGATTCTGAAAAGCTCAGTAATCAGAAGTTACGAAAGTCAGACATCTTTAGGAAGGTAACAAGAATTTTTCCTCAGGGGCCCAACTACAGTACTCTAAGCAAGCAGTCCAGTGTCATTATACCTGCTGGTTTTTGGGTCGCAATAGGCCTTTTCAATTTCCTCCATCATGGAAAGGTCATTCCAGGTGATCCCATTATATACCTGCCATCGATATGGCAAACGGTAATGAACAAATCTGCATTTATCTGTAATGAGATCAGACACAGTCAAGAGCTCTGCAATAAACACAGACAGCAAGGGGGGAAAAAAAAAAAAAAAGAAACGAGCTACTTTTTTTTTTTTTAAACACTCTGGCTTTATCTCTTGGGCTTTGGTATGAGCAATAAACACAGTTCTGAAAATCTAAGTATGTTTCAACAACAGCGGTGTGTGTTTCTCCAATCTTATCTAGAAAAACAGCAAAGTCCTCTTACCGCCAAACATATTCCAAAGAAACTGCAGCCTTCCCTTCCTGGAGACACAACACTGGCAGCTGGGAGAGCAGTGCCACAGGTAAGAAGCGTGTGACTGTGTGTCCCACGGCCACATTTCTCAGTCGTAAAAAGTCTAGTCTACACATCACATAAGCACCCTGACACATTTGCTTCTCTCCTTCCCTTAGAGCTTATGGGGTGGTTACCAAGGTCTGAATGTTTCGGGGGTTTTTGGCCCAGCCCAGTGAATGAGGCAGCATAAACCACTGCAATACTCCACAGAACATTCCCCAAGAGGGTCCCTTGCTCACCCCTGAGCAGGTGGCACGCTGCCCTATGAACAAGACTGCTAGGCACTGTTGGAATAGTTGCTTTGCTTCTTGGAAAACGGGAAGCAGCAACTTTTACCTGCCTTGCGTGCAAGACCTGCAGCAGTGCTCTATACCCCTCACATAGGAAGAGGAAGACTTTTGGTTTGGTTGTTTTCTTGTTATTTTTTTAAAATCATCTGTGTTTTCAATGCATGTACGCCTGCTTGTTTGAGTTCAGACCTGCTTAACACCCCTGCATGTGTGCATGCTGCTGGATACAGGCAGGGGCTGACCTCCAGGCCCCCCTGCTGCGGGAAGCTGATGTACACTCTGCATCCGAGTATGGACCAGTCCTTTTATTTACAACTTCTGAGGCAAACGTGGCATGGCAACTAACACGGACGCTAACTCTCCAACCGTTATTTGAGCTTAGCTATTTGGCGGTCACAGTATAGCTGCTTTGAGCCTCACCTCCACAGCTAGCACATGGGTAGACCCTTCACATTATGCAGGTCCAAAAGTTCATAAACTTAAGCCTCAAGCCTGGTCCTCAAGAAGCAGAGGGTCCGAGAAACATGATACAAGGCTGGAGTAGCTGCTGCACAGACAGAGCCAAAAGGAGTTTCACCATTCCTGGCCCCTGACGTATCTGACCACAGAACATATAGAAACTAACCCCAGTTATGAAGAGAACAGCGTCATTCACCCCTTTCCTCCTCCTTTCTGTTAGCAGGGCTGGAATGAACTCTTTCTTGAAAGCACTGTGCTTAAAAGTGTTTGAAAAGCTGTAGAAAAAACACTTGGTTTCTCTTGGCCAGACTTCACTTCTATGATCCATAAAATGCCCATAAAAAGAGATAACTTATTTTTTAAAGTACTGTCTCACTTCAAAGTAACGGTTAAGAAGAGGTATTATCAAGCCCTACAGTAACTTACTTGTTTGCTTCTCGGAAAAGGAGCTTCTGACAAGACAACTGCATCTTTACCAGAACACAAACCCACTACAGAAATGCTAAATACACAAAGGCATCTCAGACAAAACAGTTATCAGGTAACTTATTGTCCACGTTCTAAGTGAAAGCAAACACAGTCTGATCTAATTTAAGTGGATCTTTTACCAAGAGTAGGTGGTCAGAAAGGTGGTTTAGAAAGCGACTGGACAAGTTCACTGAAAGAAAATCTCATGCTACCTCCTCATAACCAAGGAAGAGCCTAAAGTGGAGGTTAAACAACTGTTCAGGGGCAGCCCCTGAATACAATTGTTTATACTTATGTTTCCCCCAGTGCTCTGTAATTGGCCACTGCCAGATAGACGATGGACTAGACTTATTTTTAGCTCAGCTGGTACAACTACTGTGTTTTCTTAAAACATTTTAAGACCTCAGATCACTTTTTAAAGGACTTAATGGGGAAGAATATGGCTATTATCTGATGTACATAGGATAGAGCAGGAATAAAGGATGACATATTGTTACCAGTTGTCAATGATGACAGCATAAGGCCAGCTCTTAAATTGATCTAATAGTTACAGAAAGTATAATATTTAACACTTGAAGGGTTTTTGCCACAGAAACGCACCCAAAGCCTGCCTCCATCAACAGGGCTGAAATAGGCCATAGATGGATCATCCAGAGGAGAAACAGTTCAGGTGTATCCACGTGACTTTCCTCTGATTATATTTGTAATTCTGACAGTGTTTATTAGTGACTTGGAAACAAAGCGAATGAGTGAGAAAGCACAATCACTACTGCTACTCCATATGCCACCACTAGCCTGAGCCACTGAGCGGGGAGTTCCTCTGCAGACACTGCTCTCCGAAAGTAATGTTACTGTTTATGAAGCTTACCATTATGTTTGCAGTACTTCCAGGCATAGTACACGCATATCTCATTACACTTATCTTCTTTGTTGTCCTTTGAAGCTTTTGAAGAGGAATTGTCTTTTTTATCTACAGCAAAGAACACATCAGTCCTTATTTGCCCTACCAAAACGTTACTCTATCAAAAAAACATTGCATTCGGTGTTTCATCCCAGAAATAACAAAGGGTTGGCTGCAGTAGCTGAGTTGAGCACTTTCAGGCTGTAACTATCCCCCAACACAGCCCACTACATCCGTAAGGGCTTTGTGACTGACCAATACAGCCCTACAATGGAAGGCAGCTCAGTGGAGATGGCCAAGGGTGATTCGCCCATGAAGCTGAGAGTAACGCGGGGTCTGACTGACCACAGCTGCTGCAAAGAAGCTGACTTTGTCACAACAGAGAGGGGACCAGAGGGTGGCCTTTGTCGTAGATAACTGGCTACGTCAGCAGAGTGGATCAGCTGGCTGTGTGTTTCTCCCCAAGTTAGCCAGACCAGCATGGGGGGAGCAAATACAGATCTCAGCCCAACACAGGGGTATAAAAACTAAACAACAAAAGAATCTCAAAGACAGCAACAGACTTGAGTTGGCTTCAACCCACATATTCCTTCCCAGGGACTGGGGACACCCAGTGCCATGACAGCATTGTCATATAATACAGATCTGTAATGGGAATGACATTGGTACTGCGATTGAACCATGTACTGCAATTGCTACGTTTTAGTAAGTGTAACTTAACACTTGTATTTTGTTTTCAGTGTGTTTTGCTCCCCCTGCTACATCAGAAATCTCATTGTACCGGGCCTGGCTAGGATAGAGTTGATTTTCTTCATAGCAGCTCACATGACACTGTTTTACTTTGTGACCAAAACAACACTGATAACACACAGATACCCTAATTTTTGCTGAACAGTGTGTGCACAGCATCAAGGCCTTCTTCATTTCTCACCCTGCCCTCCCAGTGCATCAACTGCGGGGTGCACAGTAGGTTGGGAGGGGACATACCCAGGCAGAGGACCTAACTAACCAAAGAAATATTCCACAGCATATACCATTATGCTCAGCAATAAAAGCAAAAAGCAGGAGTTTTTAGGAGGGTTAGCTATCATTTGCTCAGGAACTGGCTGGGCATCAGCCTATCCGTGGGAGGTGGCAAGTACTGTTTTGCTTTGTTTTCTTCTTTCACTTACCGTTTGCTTTC